CAACCTACTCACTGATTTCACTGGTACGAATTACTGTCTAAAATTAGGCACATACTTAAACGCTTTGTCGGGCTCAGGCTCCTGGATTAACTGCAGACTTAGTCTCTCCCAGCACTGCACTCGACAGCGAGCTCCTTCCCACTCCGTCCGCACCCATCCGAGTCTTCGGGGAATGTTGCCATGGATTTCCACAGGACACAAAAGAGTCCATATTGGAAGAACCCTGTTAAGGTTGCTAGGCGTAAATATTGACTTAACGGCTCTTCCGCCTTTTTTCTTTTTTAAGAACAGATTTGTTGGCCATGGCTGGAAAAATAAAATGCTGGAGTATGCATGATTCACTCTGGCACTCACACAAACATGCAGATCAGTTGGCTGGCAGCTCGCTCTTCTGTTAGCAGAACATCGCTTCTAAAATGTGTCATTTTGTTTTGGCAGCAAGAGCGTCCAAGCCCGCAGACAGAAAGATAAAATCTCCTACCTTCCATGTACTTCACATGGGGACTGCTGACCTTCCCCAGCACAGAACATTTGATTAATACTTCCAACAGCTTTTTGGCTGAGACACACAGAAGGACTGACAGGGTGCTGCAATCGTTTCACACTAAAAGCCCAGCCCAGAAACCTCCCTTCTTGGACCCACTCTCCTGGATCTGCTGACACGAGAAAGGACTGCAAAAAGAACTGCAGGTAAAACTTTTTATTCAGAAGTCTTTTGAATAAAGGCTGTTTCACAGACAACAAATATTGAGACAGAAGATACTTAAGGTCGCACGGGAAGTCAGCAGCAGAAGTGAGAGGGGACCCAAGGGTTTTGGTCATTGGACTGATGCTTTCACCACCAGGTTCTACTTTCTATAGTACTCCATGCACAGACTTTTAATCCCAAATTTAAAGAATGTTATTTAAAACACGACTTCAACACATGACATCATCCAAACCTTTTTCCATATTGATTCTGCCAGATCTGGATGATTTGGCAGGATGGACAGGGGGACAAACCTCCTCCAGGGCAGCCTGAAGGTACAAAGTATATGTGATACTTGTGTGTACCAGTTCTGGACACGGCCAGCACAATTCCTGTCTGTCCCTAGAAACCTGCTCACTACACACAGGGGTATGAGCAGCTCATCTGAGAGCTGGCAGAGGCTGCAGGGAGGATATTCAGACTCCACAGTAGAGACCCCTGTTTGACAGACAACCAGGGGAACTCAAGAAGCATTGTACTTCG